TAATATATTCATACAAATCAACCACATTCAATGACTCTCAATTTCTAATAAATCTAAATCGGTCATAGGAAACAGCTCTGTTCCGGTATTATTCCAGCTATTCTGAAAGCAAAAGTCTCTTTGATACACACATTTGTCCTCATCTTCAATCTGAGGTCTATATTGTTCATTATCCTCTTCCTGGTCTTTGTTACTCAGGCGACGAATACAGCTGGGAGACGCAAACATCGCTGGCGTGGATGGTAGAGCTAAGGATGCTGGATTGCTAAAATCTGTAATGAAGTGTTTTGTGATCCCTGGATATTCAAAATCCAGTGATGAACTGTCATTTGAACTGTGATCACATGCAGCATCTGCGCATCCATCAGCGAACACCTTGGAAATTGGCTTACACACCTGCATGTAGGTAAATGAAAACATAATTATATATTTTATAGGCATATGTTTCATTAATAACTGACAATTTAATCTGTTAAGGCTGGTTGTTGTTTTTTTTTTTTTTTCAACGTTCGCCGTCTGTACACTCAGGTGGGAAGTGTTGGTTGTTTATCCATTTCTGGAGCTTAGTCTAGTTCCAGAACGTTTTTTTTTTCTCTAGAGTTTCATGTGTACATCTCTTTTACAGATCTGGCTTGTTTGTATGGAGACTGTAAGTTCCTTGCCTCTCGGGCAGACGTACATCTGACTTCGAGGGAAAAACCCATAATTAGTCCGTTTTAACGACATGTATGAACTGCAAATTCGCTTCAACTATAGTGTTTAGAAAGTCTTAATGCCAACATGAAAACACTTTTATTATTTATTATTATTTTTACCCATGGTTGCGCTAATAGACTGAAAGGGTTAGGACATATTGAAAGAAGCAGACAAAGAAGACGATGTAGAGTTAATATCCAGACAGACCTGCAAACACTTGGTGTCACCAATTGGAAACAGAAGGCCAACCAGAGAGATGAAAGGAGGTGAGTGATCTCTGCAGCAGTGGATCTCAAGGGCACTAGCTTGCTGTTTAGTTGATAATATTATTTTTTTTTCATCAAAGTAGACTCTGCTTTGATTATTCGTCTGATTCTAATACAGCAACTTGTTTAATTACTTCAATCTTTTTTTCATAGGCCTTTCAAAAAAAAAAAAAAACGTTTATACTTTACTTATTTTCTTGTTTGTGTCATTATATGTTACCTCAGACTCGAAGCCAATTCTTTATTCTGTTCCATCATGTGCATTTTTTTTTTCGTTTTTTGTTTTATGTAGTAAGCTTACTAGTCAACGTTTGTCATATAGTTTGCTTGCTCCCTCAGAGCATTTGTCTCTTCTTCTTCTTTCTCTTTTTCTTCTTCTAGTTCTTTTTCTTCTCCTCCTCTCCTCTTCTTTTTCTTCTTGTCAATGGTTTTCAGACGAGAAGCCCACAGAGCTCTATGAAGTACGTGGTTCCACTGCTTCATACAACATGGTTTACACAGTAGTGCCAACTGACCATACTTGGGATCTCTCGACTGCATGTAGAAAGCATGTCTGTTGGAAATGTTCAGTATTCTGTAGCCTATTCACATGTAAAGTACTGAATCCCCAGTACTTAATTTCTTGTACAAATGGCTGCAGAGTTGGTTGTATCTAGTGCCCAGCACGCAATCTAACCATAACGACCTGTTTCTTTCGTGTGAGGAGGTTGAAAGAGGGAGGGAAATAGAGAGAGAGAGAGAGAGAGAGAGAGAGAGAGAGAGAGAGAGAGAGAGAGAGATTGCACCACTATACAGGAGATTTTCTGAAGGGGGATAACTTATTTTACTATCGCAAAGGCAAATATCATCATGTAAATTTAAACATTCTGTTAGCAGATCGCCAGATGTAGAGCAAGCGATCTGGCACCGCAATGACGATGCATAATGTTTATCCGAAAGTACTTTAATTTCGATATTGACATTTTACATAAACTCGAAAACTAACATCAACAATATTGCTAAACACCAATATCAGAGGTATTAAACATGTCGGTATATATTTTGAATGTCTCGGGAATATACCTTTCATTTTACATACATTATGCAAGGTTCGTCTTCTCCTTCATGCAATTCTTCGTTTTTTTTTTTTTTTTTTGAAGCCCCACAATGGCTGTTGCCAGGGCCGCAATATAGCCTAACGGTTGAACGCGGTTTCTGGGACCTCTCCACGGGCGATCCTCATTCTCATGGTAGCACTTTGTGTCACCGAGTGTTTATCGCTCAGTGTGATGCCCTGGTGTGGTAGAACTTACTTACTTTACTTACTTATAACTTTTATGTTATATTAACTAAGAATATTTCACTTGCTGAACACTAAAACTATTTTTTTTATTGGCATTTAAACAATAACATGACGCTTGCATTAAAGTAAGTTTACTATTACCCGTTGCATAGTGGCAGGAATGTCCTGTGGTACAACTTGCATTGGCACCTGTGTATGTATGTATGCTGTCTGAAATACAGGAAAACAAAATGATTATGAGAAATGTATATACGTTACATAGCCTGCTGGCTTCGCAAACAGCAGACCTTTTAGTAAATAACACAGGAGCCAATATCATCTTCCTCTCAAACATACACGTGTGCGCGCGAACACACACACACAACTATCCTATATTTTCACTCATTCTACACCTTTTCATCTACCAATCGTTTGTGTTTTACACTTTTTGATCACTTACTCCAACAATCACAATTACCGAATCCTTTACACTCTATCACCACTTACCCCTACATTCTCAATTTCTGTAGTTCGTTTCAGAAATCGTGCCTTCACACTTTACCTAAGGTCTCGAAAACTCCAGTACAGATCAACATGAATTGTATGTGGCCTCAGATTTCCCACGTCCTTTTGGTTTTGTAATTTACAATTGCACATGTGCTACTGTTTTCTTATAGCTGCTAAATTTATTCTATCTTTGTTTGACAAATAGTTTGTGTAGATCTTTAAAAAAAAAATAGAATATACAGTAACTGACAACCGGGAGATCGTTTGGAAATTAATCAACTGAGACTAAAACCCTTATGAAACGCATGCAATTTGATGTTTTCAAAAGATTTCGTTACACAGTTAATTGTAAGCATGGTGATTGTTTACTCTGAATTGGTGTTTATCCCCCCCCCCCCCCCCCCCCTGATATACACAAGATACAACAAAATGAAAGCAATGTTTTCTTTTTCTTACATTTAAAAAACAATTCTTGCAATGACACAATTAGTAACAGGTTCTATGCAAAATTTCAACTTACACCGAAGGTTCACTGGGTTACAGATTTTTTAAGTTGGGCACAACTTCAGGAACGGACTATAGTTCTTTCACGCTTTATCATCAAATATTGCAACGTTCACAACTGCCATTTCCTCCACACGTTATCACTACTCACCCCAACCTTCTTTCTCATATTTTAAGTATCGGTACAAGCCAAGGAGAAACAAAGAACTACGTCCTAAAAGTACGTCCAGGATTCGATATATATATATATATATATATATATATATATATATATATATATATATATATATATATATATATATGTGTGTGTGTGTGCAGGTGTTGGACGTTCAAAGGTTGGAACGTATGCCATTGTTAAAGGACATGGAGTCTCCCTCTCTCTCTCTCTCTCTCCGTGTAAGCCTGTGAATTTATGTCTCTCTCTCTGTGTCTGCCTCTCCGTGTTTGTTTCTTCTCTATCTATCTATCTATCTATCTATCTATCTATCTATCTATCTATCTATCTATCTATCTATCTCTCTCTCTATCTATCTATCTATCTATCTATCTATCTATCTATCTATCTATCTATCTATCTATCTATCTATCTATCTTCTATCTATCTATCTATCTATCTATCTATCTATCTATCTATCTATCTATCTATCTATCTATCTATCCCTCATACAAACAAGGAAACTTGAACGCCATAAATCCTGGACACCTTTTTATGTCAAGGTAACAGTAAAACGCACACAGCGCTCGATTGTTCAGCCGGGCAGACAAAGGAACTATACTTAGGTCGGCGTGCTAATAGGTCGCGGCACATTCACCGCGTCGGAATACGTGACAAAGAATAACTTTGCGTGAACTTTTTGCACCACATTCCAACAGCCAGAACGTGTAGAGAAGGCCGGGATTAGAGGCTGAAGACGGAGACAGGAAGTGCAGGACATTCACAGGCAATGAAAATGCTTTACATCCGGTCTCCCCTGTATAATTACATAAACATTCATTGGGGAGGCTGCGTGGTCTCGAGGCATGGCGTCCGCTTCGGGTGCGACAGCTCCCGGGTTCAGTCCCCGGTGGAGGCTATGGTTTTTTTTTTTTCACGTGGAATTTTAGTAATTTCCTTTGGTCTCTGGGTAGTAAGATCGGACGCCCGTGTGTATTGTTGCGCACTTGAAAAATCCATTGGTAGTGGGAAATTGAAAAGAGTAGCCTAATGGCGCTGCCTTAGCAAAATATAGAGTTTAAAAGCTACTCAAAGTATTTCAGGATCCTCGCCGGTGATACGGAGTTCGCGCACTGTGCTGAGATTCTAAGGACTTATTCTTGAGTCAGAAATAAAACGGAGCACTCATGGGTTACCCCTTGATGTTGATCCGTCGTTTAAACCAAACCAAACATTCATCATGTAGAATATATTTTACGCTACAAGAAAGAGACTGACTGATATCTTGTTCTTCTAACAGTGAGGGAGCTATGTTTCGCAAATCAGCCCCGACTTTTACTGACCGACATTAGGAAGTTCGGGGTTGTAATGGAGTTTCACAATACCGCCATGCTGGGATTCGAAGACAGCTGCAGACGATTTGTTAACAGCCTGTAAAAAGTAGGGAAAACAGGAGTGATTGCAGGGTGATCGCGTCGTGGATTTTTTTTTTTCTTTTTAAACATTGGTCTTGGCTGGCAGATCGACCCTGCCTAAGCAGGTGTACGAGTCAATGTTATGGGAAGTAAAGACGGTCGGTGAAATGTCGACCACATCATCTGACTTATGCAGATTAGTCTTCTTCCTTTAACCTTCTCTTCCTTTCTATGTTATCATGAGTGCATATCAGTACCTCTGACATTGTTGGGGGGGGGGGCAAAATGGCATTATAGCCTGCTGACCAGTGACGTTCTCTAAGTTTTGGTGATGCAAATTCACTATTTCTGGACCGAGGTCTAAGTGTTCCGTCATCCTGCTAATGAGCTGAGTGCTTGGTACGACACTATGAGCTGCGGATATCATGTGGAATGTGTTTGTGTATGTGTGTGTTTTTGATGCACTACATTGATATGTGGCCAAATACATTCAGAATGGCCTGTGCTTTTGTGTGTGTGTGTGCAATGCCAGCTTTCGTGATTGACCGTTTGTGCCAACAGAAGCTGCAGTTCTGATGTGGGACCATTGATGTCGGCAAATCCGACAGCTTCCCTATGTACTTTTACTTTGGTATGCAAGCTTCAGGAGTTTACTGGGACCGACAAGCGTTTGTGTGTGTTGTTGCTAATTTTTAAATGGGACAGCAATAGGCGCGGTGTACTGGCTAGAAGCTCGCTTGCGGGTCGGGTGGCTTTGGGACCTGACTTTTTTCCCCTTCAGAAATGACCTTGGCTCCCAGGCCGACCCAGCCTTGAGTGGGTACCAGGTGGAGTCTTGTGAAGTAAAGGCGTCCACATCACAGATCGTACTGATTAATCTATAAAATATAGGTCTAGCCCTATACGGAACAATTCCTTTACTTTACAGCGATCGTCAGCAAAGAAGACTGTGTGCGGTCTCCACTGTCACAGGGACGGAGCAGTCACGGGGAGACCAGGCCCGACCCCGACTAACGACCTGTAGACCAAGCTACAGTGAAGTTAGAACCTCGACTCACGACCTGTAGACCAGGCTACAATAAACTTGAAACCTCGACTCGCGACCTGTAGACCAGGCTACAGTGAAGTTGGAACCTTGACTCACGAATTGTAGACCTGGTTACAGTGAAGTTGGAACCTCGACTCGCGACCTGGCTACAGTGAAGTTGTAACCTCGACTCGCGACCTGTAGACCAGGCTACAATAAACTTGAAACCTCGACTCGCGACCTGTAGACCAGGCTACAGTGAAGTTGGAATCTCAACTAACGACATGTAGACCAGGCTACAGTAAAGTTGGAACCGCTACCTACGACCTGTAAATTTACATCTCCTGATGTTCCTTTGTCTTAGAAGGTTTCCCAACTTTTAATATTTATTTGTGCGAAGGTTGGGTGTGTGCTTGTGTGTGTGTTTTAGAGAGAGAAATAGGGCATGGAGCAGAGGTAGAAACTGAGAAACACGGAGGGGTAGATATAGAAATGGACGCACACACCGAGAGAGAGAGAGAGAGAGAGAGAGAAAGAGAGAGAGAGAGAGAGAGAGAAAGAGAGGGAGAGAGGGAGAGAGAAATGTGGGGGCTGAGGTAGATACAGAGAAAGTCAAAGAGACAGAGAGGTAGAAGTGGACGCACATACACACACGTCGCGAGGTGGGGCACTAGGTTAAAAACAGGGGATGACAGATGGCACAGAGACAGAGGGAGGCAGAGAGCGACACACAAGCACATTCACACAAACACACACACAACCACGTACAGTGTAAGATCGATGTTAGGCAGATGTAGAAATAGAGAAAGACAGAGAGAAGCAGAGTTAGAGACACAGGCACAGACACACACAGAGACTGAAAGAGAGAGAGAGAGAGAGAGAGAGAGAGAGAGAGAGAGAGAGAGAGAGAGAGATCAAATATTTCACAAGCTTAAGAACTCAGTTCAACAAAATCATCTTGATGTTAAGGTATATGATTACTGACTTTATAACCATTCGTTCACTCTTTGCCACGTTTCTTTGTTCTGTACAGTTGCACGTTTATCTAGCTGCAACGTGTTGGCGGGCTTACAACTGTTGCCACATGAAATCTTATACACCGCTTATAACTATAGTGTATTTCTAGCAATGTTTATAGTTATGTCACGTAACGAGATCTAAGTCAATACAAACAAATACGTAACGGCAGTCATAACACCAGATGTGCAACAGATTGTAAAAAAATGTAGTTGCATATCCTTTACGACTTTTCAGAACCAACCGCAACATTTTTTTTACTGTTGTGTTTTTTCTAGGTAAATCATCTCCAGTAATTTGTTATTTGCTTACTAAACGGTCGACTCTCGATACCACTATCAAAATCAACGCTAGGCGGTCTGCTGTCAATTCGCTTGCAGCGGGGATCGAACTCAGCACCCCGACATTACGAAGCACATTAAGATTTAGCCTAATCCACAGACGCCGACGTGTAGCATATCAGAAAGATATATAAAGCAAAGAATTCACTTCAGAAGATAAAAAGTAGCTTACGTAATAAGTCACTTTCCCTGAATGACAGAGAAGGCTATTCTGGCGTCGATTGTTGGTGATGGCACCTCTAGTGGTAGCCTTATGCATTTATTATGTGCACATGTTTCTGGATTTTGCAAGGTCAAATTGTTATTTGACTAAGTTTTTTTTTTAATGGGTCATAGTTCTTTAAAGTCGCAGGGAACATCGTCTGCATTAAGTCTTGGGGATAGCCAGGGACTTGGCTAGAAAGAGGTAGATGGCACAGGCAGAAGTCATTATCTGCAATGTCGATGCTCTTACCGCCCATGAAAACAATACTACACAGGGTGATAGATCGAGGATGTTGGAAATGTATAGCTGGTGTAACAGAGACAGCCAGTAACAGCTGATCAATGAACACTCACGCCCAGATGACATTTTTATAAGCACAGATGTCTCTGTGATTGGGGGTTTAATTTGTGGTGGGGTTTTATTGCAAAGGTGAATGTATACTGTTTGAAAACAGTAAGCCTTTGGTATAACATCACATCTAGTATGAAAATGGATGTAGAGGCAGTTTATGCAGCCATAAGATAGGCTGAGAGCAGCACTGCCCAACATGCTGTAAATGTAACGGGCCATACCTCGAAAGACTAATTCAGCGTGGGATAAGCCAGGTTCTGGACGATATTCAACACTGAAAGAAAAACATAAGCAGGCGATTTGGCAGCAGACCGTTTTGCGTTGGTGTCAACAGTAGTACCGACAGCTGACAGTTCAGGGAGCAATGACAAACTACTGAATGTAAATGTGCCTCGAAAAACAGCCAAAATTTTGCTGGGGTAGGTTCTGCAACAGCCTGTAAAGGATACAAAGCTAACCATTAAATAAATATATTTTAAAAAAATTACTTGAGCCCTTGGGTCAGCCTATCCTAATATGATACTAGGAAATGGCCTCAGAAGTATAGGCGGTTGGCGTGATCGAAGCACACACCTACCATAGCTCCGGCAACAATCCCTCAGGAATCTTAGTAAAAATTGAAACAAATCGGGCAGAATTTGAGTGAGAATATAAGTCTTGTATCGTATACCCGATGCATATGAAGTATTAGGCAGGAAAGTTGTTTGAGTACTGAAATGTTTTCTTCTTTTTGGTCTACAGGCCATGTAACTACGTGTTTTGAAAGAATACCATGCTACATAACAAGAAAAATAATTCGACAAAAATCACGTCGCTACTCTCCATTCTCGTTAGCCCACGGGCTTACCCGTTTCCCCCATCCAACACACACAAAAATCATTTAGTTACTAATTTGTTATTTTGACATACACCATCCGCTAACAAATTGCGGCAATTTAATGGCAGCTGATACATCATGAGAACAATACAGTGTTGGTGGGAGGTCAGATAAACGTGTTAGCAAAGATAATTAACAGAAGATGAAATATGAAACAAGTTTAACATAAAATATTGCACCAAATATAACCCCGTTCGTAAACTTAATCTTCTTTACTTCTTTTTTTTTTACCGCTACGGGTTCGAGAGTGACAAAAGGCTCCGTTTCTTATTCTTTTCAATACTTTAAAAAAAAAGTGACTTACTGAAAATTGTAATACTATAAATGGTGGTCCTAAAGGTCGTTCATTATATCTAGCTCGGTCTCCTACGAGATGCACCTGGCAAAAATGGAGAAGAACATCATCCGATACAAGAGGACACAACAGCAATATGAGTGAGAATGAGAACGAACAGGACGGAGGGAAACACAGGAAGGAAAATACCAGAAGACAAGGATAAAAGGAACACAAGGGGACAAAGGCAAGAAGAAGCGGTCTGTCGTTAAAGACAGGAACATTGAGCCAGACAACTGGTGCATATACCAGAATCTTTGCTACGTGAGTGGCGCAAATAAACCAGACCACAAATATAACCGGAGCCTGTTGGCGGCTTGCTGCCAACAGCAGGCTGAACGTGGTTGTGATTTTGTTTGTTTGAACGGAATCGCAGCTCTTCTGGTTGCCTCAACCATAAACACATAGAGCTGTTGTAGAGTTTCTCTGAATTGCATCCTGTTCTTGGTCTAACTCATGTTCTATGCCTTTCAGCTCTTTTGGTATTAGCCTTTTATAGAATGGCGTATCAGTGCTTTCTCTCTGAGTGGGCAAACTATCAGATTTACTGTCTTTTTATGTAATTTAAAACTGGTTCGGTCAGAATTTTTAATAATGACGCTATTTTTAATTTTATCTTTTCTAGTCGTCGGCTCTGTGGCTAAGTCGATGCGAACACTTCGCTTCGTAATGCCGGGATGCCAGGTTCGATCCCAGCTGCGGGCAATGCGCCTTGCGTTGGTTTCGACAGTGGTATCAAGAAAGCCGACCGTCCAGAAAGCAATGGCAAACTACTGGACGTAAATTTGCCTAGAGAAACCACACAACAGCCAGGGGCTGTTAGGGTTGGTTCTGCAACGTCCTCTAGAGGATACGCAACAACCTTAAGTCACTTCTGCAGCCCTTCTCATACAACTGAATTCCATTGTTAGCACCTTTTAACTTCGTTAGGCTTCAATAAGTGACATTTATAAATGCTTTAAGTTCCATCGTATACGAAAGAGGGGAGCTGTCGTGCTGTAGCGGCTAGACGCTCGCCTGCGGATCGGAAGGTCGTGGTTTCGAGACCCTCGGGGCCAAACTTTTTTTTTCAAAAATGACCTTGACTTCCAGGTCAATCAAGCCTGAAATGGGTATCAGGTAAAGTCTTGGGAAGTAAAGGCGGCCGCCATGATGTTGGCCGCATCACCCACTAAGTGCCTATCGGTCATTAGGACAGAGGTGTAACCCTATCTGCCTTATACGCCTGAAGGCGTCGAAAAGGGTTCTTTACTTTTCTTTCTTCTACATATAAAGGTGGGGAGTTTATTCGGTTGAACGAAATGGCTTTGATTTGCTCATGTTGGATTCGTATCCAAAAATCAGTGCTTGAAGTAACTGGCAGCCATCTATAGTTTTTTCCGAAAAAAAAAAAAACGACCAGCCCAGAAAATAAGCCTTTGCACGATTTTTCTTGATGCTTTTAATGTAACCCCCCCCCCCCCCCCCTCCCCCAGCTATATTTAAGATCGTCAGCTAGACTGAGAGACTTGTTGCTGAATGGCCAGTCGGAGCACAGACTTCACTGGTGCTGGTAATTTTAGTTTCAGCTTTATAGCAAACGGGTCACCCCATTTTTGCTCCGCTTCTGTGCCAACGAAAAACACACAGAATGTTTATCACAGTCCCTTGTGGAAAGACTGACAAACTGCTGTCTCAGCAAATCTAGCATACTCGCATTAAAAGCATATGGTAGCCATCCAAAGTGCTAACACAAACAGTCCAACATTAGAAAGGCAGTTCATCATTGATGGTAGCAGAAGTCACCAAAAGATCAGCAGTTGCACACCGCGATCAATTTTAATCAAATAATGGGCCCACCAATATTGCGACAACCGGAATCGTGCTATTTTCTGAATCTACAAATCACACCACCACGTTGGTCAGTCGAAAAACATTCCAAATGAAATCCGCAGCTCACAGTGTCACGCCATGCACTCAACTCAGAAGCTGGGCAACGAAACTATATACTTCCAGTCTTAAAATGGAGCAAAAAAGCAACGGCCACAGTCTGGCAGAAGCAAAAATTTATGCCTCGGCTCAAAACAGTGGCAGTGCCTAGTGTCCATTTGGACCTGAAGCATTATGTGAGGGTTAATAAACTGTCACCCCAGCAGTACCCTACTATTAGCTGGGGAAGGGATTTAGGACATTACATCCACCAGCAAGCGTCGCCCCAACAACGACCTGACACTGGTGCGGACTTGATAACGAATGTGGTTGAGATTTGAAGAGTAATGAATATGTTCCAGAATAAAGGGACGTGCCAGTATTGAATTTTTCTACACGAATAAATGTAGATGTTAGTCTCCCCCCCCCCTCCCACACACAGTGTAAAACGGCATCCACAGAAGAACAAAACTTATTGAATTTTTCTAAGCAAAATGTAATATAAGGATTCGAGGAAACACGGTATCGGCCTGTAATCCTGGAGGCATAGTTTTGTTGTGGAAATCTTCCACCTATTTAACTACTTCTTACTTTAACTTTCGTTTCTGTGCTCAGTGTTGTTCTAATTCAAGCACCGATGGAACTATGCGATGTATTTAAAGTAAGCTGAGTAACGTACAGGACGTGGCAAAAGCAACCCCATAATTTTTTAGATCATTGATTTGCTAAACAATTTGCGTAGCTTGCCACTAATCGTTTGGCTCTCTATACCATTGTTGACATCAACACATAGCGGCCTTGTGCCAGATCACCCGCAGCCGGAATCGAGCCCTGTATCTCTAAATTATGAAGCGCGTTCATAACGCCTAAGCGATAAACGCCGACTTTTACATTTCAGGCTTTCGATAACACTTGAACATCATATCAATACATGAACAATTAAATTTTCCGCCGGCTTGAGCTTGTTGAAACATTAGGCATTCGAACCTATTGCTAAAATATTCCAGGAAAGTAAAGGTGACCGTTGTGATGTTGACTACAACACATGCCGAGTGCCGTTTGGTCAATTAAATATAGGTCCAGAACTATCTGCACAATACGCCCGATGTCATGGAAAGGGGACATTTACTTTACTGATATTTCGGAAGTCTCTGCATTCGCCATGCTCGCTAATACAAAACCTTTTAGTGTGTGAGAGTTTAGAGAGATGATCGATATATTTGGTGAAAGAGGGAGGGGGTGAGTAAGTGTATGTATATACGTGTGAACGTGTGTATGTGAATGGCAGATTGAAAGGCAGTGAAAGAGAAAGGGAGTTGTGTGATAATGTGAACTGAACACTGTGTGTGCGTGTGTATGCGTACGATCGCGCGTGTGTATACTAGTAAATTGGAGAATTTAGATAGATAATGGACATCACTGATAGTGGAGAGGGCTATAGAAGGGTGTCCGGAAGACAGCCTGTATATTTGTGTAAAAGAAAGGTACAAAAAAATATGATAATAGAGGAAAGGGGAGAGACTGACAGAGGGATAAGCTTAGATAGATTAGGAAAGTATTGAATGATACGATTAGAGACATTCTATGTGAAAGACCACTGTCACTGCCAGATTATGATGAGAATAAGTCTACAATGAGATTTGTGAGTTCGAGAATGAGATTGAAGAGTTCGAGAATGAGATTGGAGAGTTCGAGAATGAGATTGAAGAGTTCGAGAATGAGATTGGTGACTTCGAGAATGAGATTGAGTTCGAGAATGAGATTGGTGAGTTGGTGAATGAGATTGGAGAGTTCGAGAATGGGATTGGTGAGTTCGAGAATGAGATTGGATAGTTCGAGAATGAGATTGGTGAGTTCAAGAATGAGATTGGTGAGTTCGAGAATGAGATTGGAGAGTTCGAAAATGAGATTGGTGAGTTCGAGAATAAGATTGGAGAGTTCAAGAATGAGATTGCTGAGTTTGAGAATATGATTGGAGAGTTCGAGAATGAGATTGGAGAGTTTGAGAATGAGATCGGTGAGTTCGTTGACGCCTGTGCTCCGTTTTGGAATTGACGATGAAAAATAAATATTTAAAAAAAAACAGAGGGAAATGTGGAGGAGGAGAAAGCCGGAGAAGAAAAAGAAAAAGAAGAAGAAGAAGAAGACGGAAGCAGAAGAAGAAGAAAAAGATGAAGTGGCGGATTAGGAGGAGAAGAGACAATGAATTTGGATACTTACCTCTGTCATTTTATGGAAGTTTAAAGCAGGTCTTTGGAAGTTACGGCGTCGCTTCTTCCTGCATCGTCGGTGATGAAGAATGCAAGGCTGGGAGTGACATCTGGGAAGAAGACTGTTGTCACAATCACTGCTCTTGTCTCTGACATCAGATGATGCAGAACTGATGGAGGGAGCTCCAGATATCTGATCTTCACATGAAAGACTACGGTTTTCCAGAATTCGGACACGACTCTCCCTGGGACTGTCTTGATAAATGGAGCTGAATGACGTGTCGCTGGCTACAGAGGCAGGTCGTGGTTTGGGAGAACCAGATGATGTGTTGGTAGAGTTAGTATAACAACCACTAGACGAAGTTTGGATTGAGCTGGAGTAACATATTTGCGAAGATGCTTGGATAGCATTAGTATAACAACCACAGCCATTGCTGCAATGGGAAGAAATCACTGGTAATAGCTTGAAACTCGTTGTCTTATGTGGCAACCAACTGCTAGATTCACATGCTCTGGTTGTGACAATATTTTTACTACTGTGTGGTGGTATCACGGCTACAGGTTTCCATACTTTCCTACTGTATTCCCCAACTGATGCAGGTACGGCCGTTAGACATTCAGGTGGGCCGGATAAAGATCTACACCTTTTCTTGTTTGGTGGTGCTGCTGGAGCTCCTGAAGCTTTTTCGCAAGATCTGCAAGATTGTTCAAGTCTTTCATGTCGACAGAAAGTGAGGTATGATACCTGGGATTTAACAGCTGAAGACGGTGAAAATGTGATTAGGTCTTGTGTCCCTCGCTCATTTGGGAGTCGTCGCTCTGCTTCTAGTGATAGTGTCCACACATTTGTGCCTGGCAAATTATTAAATAACTTGCTGAATTATAAAATCAATACAAAGTCCAAAACATTCATTCACACAATAAAATACGAGGGTTGGTTCTTACTGATAAATAAAACTAATGCACAGTCTAAAACGAATATGCACCCGTAACTACCACGGTGGGAGCCAGGGGCCAACTTTAAAATAGCCTAACGGGATTATTCAAATATGTAGAGTAATACGGTAATGTAACTGAACTGTAGCCCTATCTATCTATCTTCTTTCACCCCATCAGGACATCACACAAGCGATAAACACCCGATGACACAATGTGCCACCATCTGGGTGAGGAACATCCGTGGAGAGGTCCCAGAAACCGCGTTCAACCATTAGACCATATTTATGCCCGGGCTATATTGCAGCGGGGTAGATGCTCGCCGCGGATCGGAAGGTCGTAGGTTCGCTCCCTGGCGGAACTAAACTATTTTCAAAAATGACCTTGGCTCCTAGGTAGACCCAGCCTTGAGTACCAGGTGCAGTCCCGGGAAGTAGAGGCGGCCGGCGTGATGCTGATCACATCACCCATCTTGTGCCGATTGGTCTATAAAAATCTAAGTCTAGCCCTATACGCCTAAAGGCGTGGAAAAATGTCCTTTACCTTTTTACTCATATTGCGGCCCCTAGCAGAAGCCAGGGTAGGGCTTCAAAAAAAGAAAAATTGCATCCCACAAAGGGATGACGAAACATGCAAACTGACTGAATGACTTTCTACCCCAGCAGGACATCAAACAAGCGATAAACACCCGATGACATAATGTGCCACCATGTGGGTGAGGATCACCGTGCAGAAGTCCCAGAAACCGCGTTCAGCCTTTAGGCCATATCTATGGCCAGGCTATATTGCGACCCCTGGCAAGAGCCAGAGCAGGGCTTCAAATAACGAAAAATTCCATCCTAAAAAGGTTAGAAGCTAAGAAAACACTATGCAAACTCAACTGTGGCCCAATAGATAAGCCACCAAGAAGAACCAAAGTAGCACACGATTGTCGGTACATTTGCTCAATATTTCATTTGATTGATAAACCATTTGTATTATTTTTTTTTATTTTACAAACAGTGGTCCATACGTGAAGATAGCACAAAAACAACAAATACAAAGTTGCGTGATCTACACACATCTACTTAGATACCTTTCACTGACAGGGAGGCTTGCTGTTGGGTAGTCACCCCTTCTAAGTTTGTTATCTCCTGAAATGTTAAAAGTAGATGTCATTTATGTGGGGGGGGGGGGGGAAGTTAACCTAAAGGAATTGTAAATTAGGATAACAAAATGAATATCAAGAAGAACTATCTTATAAAGATTTATAGACACAAGATAATCAAACCATTTAGTATTCACAATAAATTTGTCTTTTGGACCATCACCCTTAGCTACTGTTGCTGCTTCTTCTTCTTTTCTCCTCCTCTTCTTCTTCGACCTCTTCTTCTTCATTCTTCTTCTTTGTTCTATTCGTGTTCTTCTGTCTTCTTCTTCTCCAACTTGTCCTCCTGTATTGTTGTGTTCGTCGTTCTTGTCGTCGTCCCATATACTTGATTCTCGAGATTATTCTAGTTTTGCCTATGTCAGCAGGGCTATTCTGCGTTGCGATACATCCAGCTTTTTCTAGCGCTGTTTTGGCTACCATGTAAACCTTTCGCTTTGTAGGTCGAACTGAACATTCACATTCCATAACACCCGACGGCTCCATCTATTTTCAGTAACCCACAAGGAAGACAGCTGACTCCTGTGATTTTACCATCACATTATCGTGATTCCAAGTTAGCAAACAGCTCTCCCTCTCCCACCCACAGACATCCTCCTGGGCACTCACGGGAACTGTACACCGTAGGTGATGGGATTATCAAGGGTAATTATGCGCCTTCTTTTGGAATTTGTGGGCGGCTGTCATTCGATGTAACCGAAGCCTTTGCCGTGAAAATAGCAAGAAGGATTGAAATGATGTTTAATGACCTGCGTAAGTTGCAGAATTTGAGCTGTGACTTGGAACAATGAAAAGCAAAACACGCCGCGCCTGTCTTTTATTTCGGTATCTGTCTGTTCGTCTGCCTACCTGTGCATGTCTATCGAATTTTTGTTTAGTTGTATATGTCACCGCCAGTTTATGAGGGCTTTGTTTTTGCTTTGCTTTTCTTGTTTTTATTTTTTTTTTTTTAAATTTTATTATATAGTGTCGCTATACTGTAGCATACAATATATTAAGTACTGCGGTATGTACCAAGCGGCTATAGTGTGTGTATGTGCATGTGTGGAAGGGGTGTGACGGAGAAAGAAAGACATCTAAGGATAACAGAGAGAGGGTCAGATAGTGGATGGATAACAAACACACACATGTGTGTATAATACAGACGAACGGAGGGGGCAGCAATACAGAGTGTTGGATATACGAAGAGCGACCGACAGAAAGATAATTTTGCATAACACACACATAAACACACACATAGAGTAAGAGTTGGAGTCACAAAAAATAGAACGAGATATATACATACTGAGAGCTATGGATGACAGGAAAGAAAGAGTGTAATAATGGGAGTTGTGGGTGACAAACACGGAGAAAGAGTTGAGGATGGCATATGGAACATGAGGCAGTTGAATAAAACAATTAGAAAACATCTACACTTGTGTTTAGACAAATCGTGCTGTCAAGATTTACCAGCAAGACAAACCTACAGACTCTCGTAAAAACACTCACCGACACGTGGTTACCACTGATGGTTGGCGGAAACTCCTCCAGTCTCTGCTTTTGCAGTTTTTCAGTGATAAGAGCGAGTCCACTATGGGCCAGCATAATAATACACATCCGGGACCCTGGGGTGGCGCAGGTGTGAGCTTTCTTGATATCCAAATCAGACGAGTCAAGCCTGGTTTACAGTTACAGTAATGTGTAACTTATTCATCTTGGGCAGGGGAACAGCAGAGAATTCGAAACTGCGGCTTAGGACAAAACTTACTCTTTGGATGAAGAGCTACTGTAGCCTAGAGAGTCGAAGAAAAGAAGAATGTGTTATGGTACGTAAGAGTCAGAAATATTCGAGTATTCAAGCCAGGCGCGTCGATCAAGATTCAAACACGGGAGGTGGGTTGGGGAGGGGGGGGGGAGGGGTTCATTCTGTTTTTGATTTTTCTTAATGTTATCACAGTCGACCCACTGCCGACTCTAATTATAGACACTTTGACTTCAGCATAGTTGGACCAGGTCCGGCTGTATATAGAATTAGAAAAGGCCGTGGTTGGACAAAGTATTCGGTGGTCCACAGTGACTTCTGCTAGACCCACCCGTTGAAGAACACTGGTATTTATAGCTCCAGAAGGGCGAAGTCGACGTCTCTGCACACTGGGTGGATATTCCCATGTGTGGCGTGCTCAGTCCTTCGATGCAGCAGCATCTCCAGGAAACTTCTACTAATTTTTTTTCATAAGAAGTTTGTGAAATGTCTACTATCTAGGCCTCGAAGGCGGCACAGACATGCTTGACCGTGCTTTACTCCTATGTCACCCAATCGTGTTAGTGGCAGATATTGGTCAGTGTCCACTAGCCCAATCCGTACGATGCTAATGATATCTGCTCTGTCCATGCTTCTTCCTACATGCCTTTTGCTGGTGCATTGCTTGCCAAAACTAGATATTACATGCGCGCAATATCACCTTTTTTTTTAAACCGAATGCGGAATGAAACGCACAAGGCTTATCTTTATTTGGATGTGGCGAGAATTTTAGATGCGCGTAAGGCGTCTTTACTGCTGTGGCAGCAAAAACATAATAATATTACGAAATACTTAGCCTAATAATAACAATGTCCTCGGGTGAGATAAGAAGTTAATAATGAGAATAAATGATGCAAATATACATAACTTGGCTAATATTTGCCTTCTAGTAAAATTGTGGTTATATTGTAAGCTTGTTTGTTTCTGTATCTGTTTCTTGTACACAGGAATTCCAGAGAAATTAGACTAAAAAGCTCAACAAAATGGGTAAGCAGAAAAACGTGCACAAACAACACAACGTAACGTTTCGGACGGGCAGTCTTTTTCAAACATAAGTGAACTACACAAACGTAACAACGAGGATAGGAGAGTATGTAGATCTCTAAGGGGTGACGTGAGCAAAGTTTAAAAAAATATGATGTGGAAATTAAAAAAGAATAAACGATGGTTAAAAAAAATATAGTCACAATAAAATAAACAGTAGTATTGTTATTATATAATATAATACTGGGAATAAAAGAAATACAAATGTTAATTATTCAGAAATGATACTGATAAGAGATAGAATAAAGTAATAATATGAAATAAAAGAAAACAAAACAAAAATAATTAACATAAAAAATGGGATAAGAGTAGAACTATTTAGATAAAGGTGTGTTGGATATTGATACCACCTGGACTAATAACGCCTAGGATCAGGCAGTTTTCCAAAGCGAGGCTTAGCTGTGTATTATATTAGCTGTGTATTAGCTTGACTGCAGTCACCCCCATATTTTCACAATTCTTGTACACAGATTTGCGCACAATTTGTAACATAATAACAAGTGCAAATATGTAAGATTATAAAGCTTTTAAGAAAAGATTTCTTTGTAAATTTTGTTAAAGTGGATAAACGGCGTATACCTATATAGGCTTTATTAATATTAAAGACAACATTCGTCGTCTCAATATGAGACGCAAAGTTTCCTTATTTTAAAGCCCCCAACCGACTGTAATCGAAAGCCCTAATATAACGGAAAGGTTTAACGTGGTTTCTCTGACTTCTCACTGGGTGAACCACATCCCTATGGTGGCACTTTGTGTCACCGGGTGTTTATAGCTTGTTGGATGTCCTGGTGGTGTTGAATCTCATTCAATTACAATTCATTATTATAAATTGTAAAGTAACAGAAGGGTAGTAGTAGTAGTAAATTTTACCCCACTAGGACATCACACAAGCGATAAACACCCGATGACAAAGTGTGCTATTACGTTCATTTTATTTTATTTTGAGTTGCTATGTGAATGTACGGCATGGAAGTCTTTGTAAAATGTTATGAATGGATGTGGTAAAAAGCATATTTATGACCCCAAAAATTGAGTGATCTGGTACGTTACAAACCAAGTGTCCGATATATTCTCTAGTCACCGAAAAAAAAATTATAAAATAATTACATTTAAGAATAAATATACCCTCAGTATTTAACGTCCTCTTCACTGCGAGAGTTCAACAATGTATATACGTATGAATAATAGACTAGACAAAAATGTATGTATATACAACTCATATACATATATATACAAATACAACTCACCGACGGATTCTTGAGAACACACAATATATGAACAACTCTACAAGAAAAGTTAAAACTGCCGAACTAGGCACTACTTCGCAAAGAATTTCTCTATTATAACAGCCCACAATCTCCTTGATCTCTTTGAATCCATTGCTCAATAAACGTATAAATCACCTTCTAGCCCAATTGTAGCCAGAGAGCTTTCAAACAAGCTGTCTGCTGCATAAATTATGATAAGTTGATAGCTGTACGTATGTATGACTCATCTCTGATCAATGCAAGCTGTGTCAATTGGAAAACACTATACGTTCCAGTGCTTTTGGCAGTAAGCTTTCTTGCGCTTGTTCACGTTTATAATAACCGTGTGTCTGATCGAATTTTTGAAACTCGCTGTTAGTTTTACTAAATGGTTCCGAGTTTTTTCCAAGAGGCCAACCATGCTATTTTTTTATGGCTTTAGTTAATTCCTTGTTTAAGTAAAAAAAAATAATAAACTGTATCAGTTCCAGTAATATGTTACTATATAAACCCCCCCCCCTCTCTCTCTCTCTTTCTCTCTCTTTCTCTCCCTCTCTCTGATTATTTATAAGAATTGTGTATTACACAATGGAACCGACCAATCAAATCTTGTTTTTTAAATGTTTGTTGTATTCTAGACACATCGTTACATCCCGAGATATTGTGTTTGTTTTTGACCTGTGCTTGGTTAATATAATTTTATGTAACCTATGGTGCCATTTCAATGGTATAAGATAAATTATGTCCATATTCCGTAGTTATGGATCTCAGGCTGGCCAATGAAGACACTTTTTGGAGGGGGGGGGGGGGGGGGAGAGTTTTTGCCTAGTTGGACATGTTCTTAGTACAATTCTTTCCACAGCGAGGCGCACACGCTATGTAAAGGTGACAGGTTCGATTCCCGGCACAATAACTACAGCTTTCTTTTTTATATTGTCCGGGGAAAATGTGTAGTTAAAAATCTACCCAAAATGTATTTTTAGGATTCTCGCTGGTGCAACGGAGTTCGGGCTCTGCGCGAAGATTCTTCACTCAGGCTAGAGTTAGAAGTAGAACGGAGCTTTTATTGGTTTACACCCGTGTGCCATGATGTTGATCCGTCGACTAATCTAAACTACATAAAATCATGTTATTGTCTATTAGCACTCATTAGATCCTTTGAAGCTGATGTATTATTCTATAGCGAAGCGTTATCAATTTATACGTATATGCGTTAGCAGGTAATGATTACAGTGGAGGTACCATGTGATATTTTCCTTGTCGTCGCTTCGCTGTTGAGAGTATGCATGTACAGCTAGCATCGTATTACTATTAACTGATGGCTTTCATACATTACAGTTTCCGCCTGAGTAGTGTAAGCAAGCAGCTGGCGTTCTTTTCGCTATGTTTAGGACATAAAACTGATGGCGTGTTTGCAATAAACAATAAACAGTACTAATAAATAGTAGAAGAATGGATTTTTATTTTTCAATGGGGACTGTGAGCGACGACTACATCCTTTGCATGCCTGCCTCATCAAGGATTATTACCATCAAATGTTTTGATCTGAAGAAATTAAAATACAAACCTTGCGTATCCTTTACATGACATTGCAGAACAAATCCCATCATTTTTTGACTCTTGTGATTTCTCTAGGCAAGTTGACATCCAGTAGTTTGCCATTGCTTTCTGTACGGTTGGCTTCTAGATACAACTGTCGAAACCAACGCATGGCGCAAGGCCCTCAGCTGGGATCAAACCCGGCACCCCGGCATTAGGAAGCGCGTTCCCAACGCTTAAGCCACAGACGCCGACACACATTAGTTCTCCTTAAAAGAAGTTGAAGTAAATGGCAGAGTGGGTGGGCATAACAACAGGGCAGGGCGTAAGCAGTTAGAAAATGTAAATTATATAAGTATAAATCAACAAACGCCTAACGCGTTAATTGGTCTCAGTATGTTAAAGATCTAATTTCATTCTGGTCAGTCCTAAAAAAACATTCACGCTCAATTACAACGTGTGAGATGAGGCGTATAATAAATGCGACCGGAAAGAAACAAGAAGAGATTGTCACCAAAGAAAGAGTAAGAACAACGGTGGGCAATATGGTTTGGTCATCGGGTCACAATGGAACAAAATCAGCCAGCAGTTAAAGCGTACTTTTTGTGAACAGCAGGCAACAAGGCAAGAGGTCGATCAAGAAAGAAATTTGTGGAGAAAGTTAAATCGA